TGCAGAATGTATGTACAGGTCCTGTCCTAGGAGCTACGCGTCTGTACGGCATATTATGCTCTTCAGGTCTGTGAGCTGGGGCTGGGCACCAGCAGATGGTACGTTTCTGCCAGGCAGGAGACGCCTGTCCGGCTGTATGTAAAGTGAGCCCTGTACACTTCACAATGGACGCCTACTTACAGTCCAAGCAAAATGCTAATCAAAGTCTCCAGGGGAGATTCTAGCCCAGAAACACAAGCAGCAGGGAGGGGGGTACCCTGTTTACAAGTGAAGAAAATGGACGGTTGGAACAATATCTGGGGGTGCCCAGGGGCAAGCTACCAGCACGCGTGTCCTATGAATGGAGGATCCCTGTTAACCTTTGGGTGAGCTAACCTTCAGGAGGCAGGAGAATGCCGTTTTCGTTATTTTATATGTAATCCTTTGTTTCCATTAATTTCACAGCCTTCTCTGACCTTCATGAAATGAACTCAGATTTGTTTGTACTACAAGCAATCTCAGTGCTCTGAGCTGTCGAGCGACGCCCCCGGGGTGAAACAGGTGAGCTGGGGGGCAGTTCTGGGAGTGTCCCATGGGCCCCAGGTAGGCCCAGGGACACTCGGAGGGCCGAGGGGTTGGAGCGTGTCTGTCACTAACCTGCAGGGGGGCAGCGGGGCCTGTGTGGGCGGAGGGGGTCATGCTTGTGCTGCCCGTGGCTGGTGGAACCAGGGAGCTGAGCCCGGCAGGCACAGACATGGCTTCCAACATTAGGGCAGGTGGTGGCAAGGTGCCTAACAGCTCTGGGCACTCCCCTCCTTTTCCCCCAACACCCTCTGCCCTCCTACTCCAATGCCCCCCATCTTCCCTATACGGTGCCCTCCCTACCCCCCTACATGCCCCAGTACCCTCTCCTCCTAAATCCCACTCTACTGGCAATGCCTACTGGGCTGTTTTGGTAGGACCCCCACCCTGGCCGCCCTGGGTCCTGTCTAAGCTGTAACCCTGAAGGGCAGACCCCAGTGCTGGGGATGGGTGGCAAAGTGCCTGCTCCCACGGGAGCCAGAACTCGACCCACAGGAGACGCGACCTGCCATGGCCCCTGTGTGATGCTGGCTGGAGGGTGACCTTCCCCAGGGCTGGGTGCTGGCCCTGCCCACAGGCCCTGGCGCGCACTCACCGTACGTGTGGCTCTGGCAGTGGTGAATGATACGTACGGCCTTGGCCATCATTCGCTGCAGGCAAGGCACAGGGTTACTCATGGGCCAGGGAGCATGGCCCGGCGCACACATGGTCAGGTAAAGCTCTTCCCCCTCCCACTCCTTTGGAAGCCAAGTGCCTGTGAGGGGCGTGGGGCACAGCTGCCTCGTCCAGCACATGCCCTCTACCAAGGGCCTGTCCCTCAGCCAGGCAACCCCAGCAAAGGGCCATGGGGAACAGGGGCAAAATGTGCAGAGCAACCACAATCCCATGGGCCCAGGGATGGGGCACCATGGCGGGACATCCCCTCTGCTAGGCTGGGGCAGCACTGCAGGACAGGCAGGTGGGGCCAGCCACACCCTGCTGGGGAGCTGCCGTGGGGCGGAGGAGCCCGTGGGCTGGGAGTGGGTGAAGGAGGTGGCCCCTGCCAGCCCCGTCCGGCCCCTGCGCACAGGCACTCTCAGCACTGTTATCAGCCGAAGCCCCTCCTCCAGACAGGCCTGTCAGAGCATGAGGCCAGGAGCCAGAACACCTGGGTTCTCACTGCGCCTCAGCTTCCTCCCTGGAAAAATGGGGCGCATGAGCCGCCTGCTGAGGGACCCCCAAATGCATTAGTGTCTGTGCAGCGCTTCACTTCGCCAGACCCCGCAGCCGCCGGGGGGAGTGGGGCCGGCCTGGAGGGGTGACAGGTTCTGCCTGGCTCACCATCTTCTCAAAGTTGATGAGGTTCTCTGCCAGCGTGCGGTTGCCCTCGTGGATGAAGGTCATGTCTACAAGGGGAAGCCTCAAAGTCAGTGCCCAGCCTCCGCGGCTCAGCCTCCTTCCACAGGCACCAGCTAGCGCCTCAGACCATCAACAGAGATGGGGGTTCTCTGCAGCGGGGAGGCTGCTGTCATTGAACCTGTGCTTGGCCCATCCCACCAATGCTCCTCCGTCCGGCAGGGCAGGGCAGGGCTCCCGCAGGGACTCCCCCACCGCCCACACCCCAGGGTTGGTAATGGACGTGTGGACTCAGAGCACCCCCAAGGAGCAGTCTGACAGCAGCCAAATCCAGTGTCTGCTGGAGGCTTGGCCCCATGGCCAAAGAGATCAGGAGCTTGCGGGGCTGGAGCCAACTGCATATGATTGAATTCCTCAGTCCCCCGGCCCTGTGGCATGGAGCCCTGGTCCCCCTGACCTATGAGATGGAGCCCTGGTCCCCCAGCCCCACAGGATGGAGCCCCGGTCCCGCGGGACAGGCTCTGTGTCACTGTGAGGCAGTGCAAAGCTGTCCCCTTCAGTAGCCATACTGCCCTGCCACGTGAGGAGTCTCCTGAACTTCTCCAGGGCATGTGCCTGGACCCAGCAGCGCCCCACTGGGACACTAGTGCCCAGAGGAACTGGCCTCCCTGGGAAGAAGGGGACCCGGTGCTGGGGTGGGGTCCCTGCAAACCCACTGTGGGAGGGGGTCACTTCTGGAAACAGAGTTACTGCCCAGCCCCCCCCGGCTGAAATTCCTGAGCTGTTCCTGTACCTTTGAGAAGGAGGGGTACGAAGGGGATGATGGGCGGGGTCAGTTTGGCGATGGCCAGTCTGTAGACTCTGTGATTCCAGGACGGGTCCTGGAAGGAGAAAAGGATTTCAGAGCAGGAGCCATTTCCTGGCCCCAGAGTGGTGCCTTCGCGAGGCCATGGCTGCAGGCTAGGCCCCCAGCAGGCCAGAGCTCAGCTCCCCCGGCCACAAGCGGCCTGTGGCTCCCCAGGCCCGTGCAGCCCCTCGCAGCCTGAGGGAGCGCCCCCGCTGGAGGGTCACCTCACCACCGCTGGGGTGGAGCACAGCAGCTATTTAGCTCTGGGCTGGAAGGGCAGGGGACCGCTGCAGCCAGTTGATGCTGCAGGGGACCTAGGGAGGCAGAAAGTCCTCACCCAGATGACACTGGGGCCAGCACCCTGGCTCACACCCAGAGTACCTGGGATCACCCGTGACCAGGGGGCTTAGCACAGCTCCTCCTGCAGTGCTCCGACACCATGGAGCAAGGGCCTGAGATGGAGCCCTCTAGCACTGCACGGGGGCTGCATGCAGCACAGAAAGGGGGGGTTCCCCTTCCTGCATCACCTGCACCACTTCCTGCCCCCAAAGGACCCCTCCCCCAGGCACTGCCCCAGCCCAGCATGGCTTCGCTCCCACAGCTGGGTGGGCTGGGCTATGGGAACCTGCCTTGGGGGGCTCCGCCATCTACAAGAATCATGTGGGGAGGTGAAGGTGCTGGCAAAGGGAGCCAAACTTACCAGCATACGCTCCAGCGCTGAGTGCAGCTTCCTGGTTTTGTGCGGCAGCCTCTGTGTGTGAGACAGAGCAGGTGAGAGCTTCCCCCGAACCTCCAGCCCCCTGCACCGGGACCCTCTCCTGCTCCTCACACAGAGCGCATTCTCAGAGCCTCTGCCGCGCTGGGGGCTGCATGGAGGCTGACCCCCCGACAGCCCCTCCACAGCCAGGCCCTGGGCACCCAGAACGGCCTGCATTCCCGTGGGAGTTCTGGGTGTGAAGAAGGCAGGCCCCAGCCCAGAAACTAGACACAAGGATTGTTTCAGCTGCAGCCACCTTTGGGGTGGAACACAGGGTATAGGGAAGGGAGTAAAGAAGGCGTCTGTATCTCAATGGGAGGGAGTTGAGCGGGGTGAGCAGCAGCTGGATTTTGGCCAGGACACTCGCATTAGCTGAGCCTGGGGCTCTGGTTCGGGCGCATCGCCCAGCAGGAGGTGACCTCTGCCTAGGCTGTTAGGAGCTGAGGTTCCCAGGGCCTGGGGGAAGTTTCCCAGGCTGGATCTGACCTGGAGCAGCAGGGCCTGTGCCTTGGTCTGTACCTCCCAAGTCTTGGCGAGGCGACTCACAGCCGTGTTGCTCAGACCAAACATCACCGCGAAGAAGGAATTCAGGTTCTTCTGCTCCTTGAGGCTGAAATGGAAGATACAGTAACTCGGGGGCTGAGGGCCAGCACTGGGCCTGGATGACACAGCTAGCACAGCAGGGCCCAGCGCCAGGCTGCCTCCATGGAGAGGGCTGGCTTGGGTGCAGCGGGGACTCCTGGAGGACGAGTTCCCTGCCCACACGTCACTCACTGTGCAGCCAGCTTAATGAACTTCCTGAGCAGCTGGGCCCGCTTGCCCGGCTCCGCACAGAGGCAGAGCTCGGTGGCGATCCAGTACTGCAGCTCGTTGAAGCGTCGCATGACGCGCTCCAGGTTCGCCGTGGTCGCGCTGGGAAACGTCTGCTGCCCAAAGATGTAATAGATCAGCTCCACCTTCAAAACACAAGGGCCAGAGCTCAGGGCTGGGACTGGACCCGCACCTCCTGAGAGCCAGCCCAGCGCCTGGCCCACATCCCCTCTGCTCTGACCCCAGGCTTATTGCTCCAGACACGGCCCATTACCTGGTGGACGCTGCTGAAGAGGTTCCAGTCGTAATCCGTCAGCTGACTGGCCAAGTCCTTGGAGCTGATGAGGTCCAGGGTCTCTGAGGAGCCAACGGTGGGCCCCAGCTGCTCGGGATGAGGGGTCTGGATAGAGGAGGAGCGAGAATGTCACACGCCCCCGTCTCCTTAGCCCTGTGTGCTCTGCACGGCCTGCGGGTGAGCCAGGCAGCCCTGGGCCAGAGCCCTGCCCAGCTCAGCGGGGAGCTGGTAGATCTTAGGTGGCTGTGAACGCCCAGGCAGCCAGGCAGACCAGCCACAGAGGCCAGACCCCAAGCCATCTACCCCACAGGTCAAGGTGCGGCTCCTGCCGCTGGGAGCAGACTGTGGCAGTCCCTGGGGCAGAGGCACTGCTGCCCGGGGCCTGTGTGCTGCAGTGCTCTCCACGCCCCGTAACAACCAGTTCCCAGCTCTGAGTGTCTCTGATAATGGGCAGCAGCCCTCAGGTGGTGTGTGTGCTGGACCAGAGCTCGTGGGAGGGAGTCTCCAGCCCTTGGCAAAGAGAGGGGCACAAGGCTCGCCTGGCCCCAGCCTAGAACCCTGCTCCCCCCAGCCCAGCCCTCACCAGGGTGTGCAGCTCCTGGACAGTCACAACAAAGAGTCTCTCGTTCAGGCCCAGGGATGTGTACACACCGATGGTGTCTATCTGCAGCCCCGCTTTATCTGTCAGAGAGAGAGAGAGCCTGTTGGAGAGCTACTCCCGCAGTGGCCACCAGGCGGCGGTGTTTGCACGCACACCAGCCAGCAGGGACAGGCACGTTCGGGGATGGAGCGCAGCCAGCCTCGCTGCCCTGGGGCGCAGGGGAGACAGGGGGAAATCCAAGCGTGAGCAAGGGCTGCTAGCCCGGGACATGGCGGAGCTCAGGGCTGGTCCCTCCGGCATCCCCCTTGTCCCCAAGTGAATTCACAGGCCCGTGAGGAGGGCATGCCAACCCCACACACCCGTAGAGCCGGCGGAGGGCCGCAGCAGGCTGTGCCATACGACAGTGCCCCAGGGAGCACACTGGCTGCAGCATGGGGCACCCCACTCCCTCCAGCTCAAGAGGGGACCGGCTCAGGGTGTAGGATTGGGAGGTCTCGGCAGGACATGGATCAGCCATGCAGCCTGAGGCGCAGTGTGGTGCCTGGGCCAGGCGGGAGCGGGAGCAGCTGCTGCCACTAGAACACCGTCGCCCCCTCTGGGTCAGCATGGGCAGGGCGAGCCCCGAGGAAATCCTCGCAGCCTGGGGGGCAGCGGAGAGGGGCAGCTGCAGCATGGGGAGAGGGGCCAGGTGTCGCTGCTGCAGAAAAGGGGTTGGGCAGGTGAACAGGCCTCCAGATGCTTGGCAGACCCAGACACTGCCTAAAGTGAATGCATCCCACTCTCCCAGCCCCATTACTGCCCCCTCTTCACTCTACCTGCTTCAGGGACACCCTGGCGGGGCAAGGACATGCTGCCCCAGAGCAGCTGGGGGGGGGGGGGGGTGAGGGGTAGATGTGCTGCCCTAGAGCAGCTGGTGGGGGGAGGCAACGGGAGGCGGGAGGACACACTGCCCCAGTGCAGCTGGCAGGGGAGGTCGGGGGAGGACGTGCTGCCCCAGTGCCGCTGGTGGAGGGAGGGGGGCGAACGCACTTCCCAGCTCCCGCCAGCACCACGCCACTCACTCACCCCCTGCTGAGTTGACCTTGACCAGCATGCGCTCGCCGTGCCCGCCCTCTTGGCGGGTGAGGGACTGGAGCACATCGCGCACGGAGGCGTTCACTGGCAGCACCACGGTGAGGCAGGAGTGGTCAGCTCTGTAGACGTCATAGGGCACTGGGGAAGGCAGGGGACACGTTAGTGAGACCCCCCTTGCCAGGACCCAGCCAGCCGAGGGCAGAGGTGACCTAGGATCCTCGGGCAGGGAGCCCCGTTTGGGGACGGGTTTGAGCTGTGAACTCCGTGGGAGGCAGACTGGGGCCCCAGGGCACAAGCCCTGACTGCAAGTCCCTATGGGCTCTGAGCAGGGCCCTGCCTCTCGGGTATGGGGGCCACCATGTCGGGGAGTCTGCACCCCACACGCCTCCCAGGGTGACTGTGTCTAAGGGGAGGTGTGACACTCTTTACCCCAAAGCAACACCCTGGCACCCCCATATCTACCATGGTGATATAATTATGATGTGTTTTGTAAAAAGTCTGCCTTGCGAGGTACTATTTTAAAAGGCTTGATCTGTTAAGCATTAATCTCCTGTTGGATTGTATGTGGGATCACTGTATGCGAAGTGATGATGTTTTGCTATGCGTGTGTTACTGAAATATGTAGTGAGTTTGGGAACACCCACAAGCAGCCTTTCAGGTACAACAATGGAGAAGCCAGACAGCGTTGATGGCTCAGTAAGGGGAATCCATTAGGGTTGCCTGGCGTCCGGTTTTCGGGGGTGTGTGTCGCTTGCGGGGAATTCTCTTCCCTCCCCCCGCATTCCAGAGAACAGGAAAAACGTTTGTCCTCCCCGAGCCACGTGTCCAGCATTCATGGCAGACAGAGCGGCCTCTGAGGCCTGGGAAATTTAAGGGGCCACCTGACATCAGCGCCTCCTGGAGCCCCCGCAAACTGCCCCAGCCAGAGCCTGCACCCTGACCCCCCCTTCCACGCCCCAGCCCCCTGCCCCAGCTCAGAGCCCCCTCACACCCCCCAAACTCCCTCCCAGAGCCTGCACCCCACATCCCCTCCCGCACCTGAACTCCTTCCCAGAGTCCGCACCTCCCTCCCACACTCTGAACCGCTTGGCCCCAACCTGGAGCATCTTCCTGCACCCTGAACCCCTCATCCCCGGCCCCATCCCAGAGCCCGTACCCCCACCCAGAACGCCCACACCCCACATCCCAACCTTCTGCCCCAGGCCGGTGAAAGTAAGTGAGGGTGGGGGAGACCGAGCGACGGAGATGGGGGGGCGGGGCCGGGGGGAAGGGGACAGGGCAAGGGTGTTCAGTTTTCTGAAATTAGAAAGTTGGCAACCCTAGAATCCACATTACCATTATCTGTGTACAATGAAGCCTTCTCAAAGGGGGCAGGTAAACAATGGACACTTTTTGACTCACATCATAGCAAAAGATCTTTCCAGCAAGCTGGAGGAACCTATAAATGGGGGAAGTGACATCACATCACTTGTTCTCACTCCCCCCACAACTCAACACCTGGAAACAGGTCTGAAGAAAAAGCCTGAACTGAGGAGATAGTTCCAGGCTGAAGGGATTTCTTGCCCGTGTATGGAAGACCTGTGACCTGCTTCTATTTTCTGTCAGGGTGAAACACCGCTTGATTCAACTCCTGTCTAGTTAATAGAAGTCAGATTGCAAATTTGTTTTATTTCTTAGGTAACTAGCTTTGGTCTGTACGCTTACTACTTATAATCACTTAAAATCTATCTGTAGTTAATACATT